ATTTCAAGCCTGGTGGAATCAAATAACAACAACAACAACAACAACAATAATGCTGCACTGGTCATTATGTAAAAAATACGACTTACCTATATCCAAAAAGTCATGGGAACATAAAGTGGAAAAAGTTATAGAAAATGAGTAGGTGAAGATCTTCGAATAAAGACGGATCGTCACTTGGAACACAACACGCCAGATATCACAGTTGTCGAAAACCGAAACGTACAATTTATTGACATTGCGATACCAGAAGATGCCAGAGTCGAAGAAAAAGAACTGGAAAAAATCACGAAATATCGTGACCTGGCCATCGAAACTCCACGGCTATGGATGAAACATGTAAAAGTGACACCCATTGTCATCGGGGCACTTGGTACCATGTCCAAGAATTTTATAAATACAGCAACAAATTGCAGCTTCCTGCAATAACACCAGCGAAACTGCAAAAAACTGCGCTACTTGGAACATCGTACATCTTAAGAAGGTACTTGGTTGGAAGCAATCCGTATCACCCATTAGCACCAGTCAATGGTATTTGTGATGCATTTTTGAATATTCAGTTGACTAAGTTTCATGTTTAATGAATAAAGATAATAATAATAATAATAATGATAATAATAATAATAATAATAAGTATGGTTCATTGACATTGCAATACCTGGTGATGCACGGATTGAAGATAAGCAGCAAGAAAAAATCACAAAGTATCGGGACTTGCAAATTGAAGTTGAGCGACTGTGGAAAAAGAAATAGTGTGTTGTCCCGATTGTAATTGGAGCCCTTGGAGCAATACCCAAAGGGCTATCCCGCTATTTAGAAATTCTAAATTTGCCAGACTTGAACATTTTGACTCTACAAAAAACCACCTTACTCGGAACAGCTTACATCCTCCGACGATACCTTAACAGTTCCTAGGTCCTTGGTTAGGACTCGAGCTGCTGAGCTATTAACCAGCCTCAAAGGCTGTGAATCTCACTAAAGATTAACTAATAATAATAATAATAATAATAATAATAATAATAATAATAAATAGTCATCTGGGAGAGATTATTTGCTTAGTTCCAAGAAAGCTACCATTGCTATCATCGTTCCTTACATTCACATTTTAAAAGTTCAGATTCCAAATCTTAACATCTAGCTAGGTACAGATGGGAAAAATGTCTTCTATTTATAGAACTCTCGTTAGGAAACATTTTCAAGGTCCGTCTCAGCCTCCTATGAATGGCATCCAGAGGAGTGAACCTTTCTCATTGCAATGAATTATGCCCCTTAGCAAGCTCTGTTGTCATTTTTAGTGTGTGTGTGTCCACCCACTCTACCCACACGGAAGTATTTTGTTAAATAAATGCAAGAAGGAAAATATATCAGCTGCTGAATGAGAACCATCCTATCATAGTTCTCAAAAATTTTGTGTGCTTTATGCAGAGAGAACGAGAAAGACCTCGTGTGGCTGGCTATGACTTTTGGATCGTTTGGTTCTGAAATTCAGTCTATTGCCAATTCCTGAGAATTAAATTAGGTGCTCCATTATTATTCAGTGGAGGACACTAGTGGTGGTATTCACGTACCTTCGCTACCGGTTCGCAAATGTGTGTGCGCTCGTGCATGTGCTCGCTTCACTCACGTGCGCCACCTCTGCGCATGCGCAGAACAGTGGTGGGTTGCCCCCGATTCGCACCGGTTCTATAGAACCAGTAGTAAAACTGGAGGGTGGGTCCGCCCACCGACCCCAACGTCATCAGAACGCTTCTGCGCATGCGCAGAAGAGTGAGTGCACGGGAGAGCAAAGAGAGCCCATGCGCAGGCCCCATTGCGAACCGGTAGTAAAGGTAAGTAGAACCCACCTCTGGCACAGAGCGTCAAAAACGGGACGTGATGATGTCCGGGTGGGTGAGCAGAGTCTCCCACAGCCGCCACTACCGGTTCGCCTGAACCAGATAGAACCAGCTGAATAGCACCACTGGAGGACACCTACAGCCAAAGACTTTCAATTTGTGATTTCTTGTACACTAGGAAGAAGGGAAAAATCTACTGAAATTAATATGTTTTAGTGAAAGGAATTTGTTTGTTTGTTTGTTTGTTTCCTGCCTTTATTATTTTTGCAAGGTTGGGCTAAGAGAGAGCCCACCTAACACTAACCTCCACATAGGAACAGAGGCCATGGTAACAACCAAAGATAAGAAAAAGTGTGCAATGAAAGACATCTGGTGACCTCTTATTCTGGCAAGTCGAAATAATGACTAGAGCCTCTGTTGACACACAACTATGGATCTCCTTAGCAGCCGCCTGACAGATTTTGACAGCTACGTCCCACCAGAGATCTGGGAAAAGCACTTCAGAAAACTGGATAGAGATGAAGCAGTAAATCACAGATGATTTTTCAACATGTTGGTGAGAATCTACCCACCTGTCACTAGTGGCACTAGAGATCTCTCGCTTTAGGCCCAGGAATGCTATGGCAGGGGTGTCAAACTCAAGGCCCAGTGGGGGGATCCCGCCCACGAGGTGCTTAGATCTGGCCCATGGGGCCACCCTGGAAACAGTGAGGAACCAGCCCGTGGTTCCTCTGCCAGTGAAAACGGAGCTTGGGAGCCGTATGTGTTCCCCAAGCTCCGTTTTCACTGGCAGAGGGCTGCAGGAGGCCATCATGGCTAAAAACATAGCTCGGGATCCCATTTTCGCTGACAGAGCGCTCGGGCCTCCAAAGACACCCCTGACATGAGTAACATCAAGCTGGCCACACCGACCCTGGCCGCTGACATCAAACACAGCCCTGATGTGGGCCTCAATGAAATCGAGTTTGACACCCCTGGTCTATGGGATAATTTGATAATTTGATAAGAGCCTTGGTTGTACAGTGGTTTAAAGCACCCTGTTATTAACACAGCTGCCTGCAATTACTGCAGGTTCGAATCTTACCAGGCTCAAGGTTGACTCAGCCTTCCATCCTTTCTAAGGTAGGTTAAATGAGGACCCAGTTTGTGGGGGCAATAATCTGACTTTGTATAAATATACAAAAGTATGAAGGCTATTGCTTAACGCATTGTAAGCCGCCCTGAGTCTCCGGAGAAGGGCGGCATATAAATCAAAATTAAAAAAAAAAATTAATCCTCCCAGTCTACTCAAAAAGAACTAAGCACTCTGTGAAGGATCAGAGTTCCAGCAACATAGTGCACTTCCTTATTCTAAATAGGGGCACATTCTCTCAGATGAAGCCGTTTGGATTTTTGACGTTGTGCCTTCTTGTAAACAGTTGAAGGATAAATAACTTGAATAAATGGAATCATATAGTTTGAAGAGGCCATTAAATCCAACCTCCTTTTCAATACTGGAATTCAGATTAAAGTCTTCCTAATGTTGGCCTTTGGAAAGGGCCTGGAAACGTGACTCAGCCAACTGACTTGATGGCGGCATCTCATTTTTGGAGATGGCTAATAGATTATTAGGGACACGGTGGCTCAGTGGCTAAGATGTTGAGCTTGTCAATCAAAAGGTCGGCAGTTCAGCGGTTCGAATCCCTAGTGCCGCATAACGGGGTGAGCTCCCGTTACTTGTCCCAGCTTCTGCCAACCTAGCAGTTCGAAAACACGTAAAAAATGCAAGTAGAAAACTAGGGACCACCTTTGGTGGGAAGGTAACAGCGTTCCGTGTGCCTTTGGCATTTAGTCATGCCGGCCACATGACCACGGAGACGTCTTTGGACAGTGCTGGCTCTTCGGCTTTGAAACGGAGATGAGCACCGCCCCCTAGAGTTGGGAACGACTAGCACATATGTGCGAGGGAAACCTTTACCTTTAATAAATTAGCAGAAGATCCCACCTCCATCCAGTTTAATTGTTGGTTCTTTTAAAGAGAGATCCAACCTAGGATAATTTTTCCGACAGGTAGAAGGATTAATCAGCGGAATACCTTGCTTTGCAGAGTTGTGAGTGCTCCATGATTGAAAGTTTTCAAAAATAAACTGGACAACCATTTGACTGGGATGATATGAGGTCTCCTGCCTTGAGCAGGGGGTTGGACTAGAAGACCTCCGAGGTCCCTTCTAACCTTATGATTCTATGTATTATATTCTATTTGCTTTGCTGTTAATTTAATCAGTGGTGGTATTCAGCCGGTTCTATCCAGTTCACGCGAACCGTTAGCGGCGGCTACATGTGGCTCCACCCACTCACCCAGACGTAATCACGGCCCATTTATCCACATTTTTGACACTCTGCACATGCATAGAAAGCCTTGTGCATGCGTGGAGGAGGCTCACATTTGCGAACTGGTAGCGAGGTAAGGAAATACCACCCCTGAATTTAATGTTCTGATTTGGATGCTCAAAGTTTGAAGGTTTTAACATTTTCATTGCATAATATCACTATAACATTGTCAGCTGCCCAAAGTCGCTAAACAGTGAGAAGGATGGCATATAAATGTAAAATAAAATAAAATATAAAAAATAATAAAGTAAAGTAAAGTAAAGAAATAAAATAAAATAAATTGAAATGAAATGAAATAAAATAAAATAATAAAATAAAATAATAAAATAAAATAAAATAATAAAATAAAATAAAATAATAAAATAAATAAAATAAAATAAAATAATAAAATAAAATAAATAAAATAAAATAAAATAAAATAAAATAGAATAAAATAAAATAAAATAAAATGAAATAAAATAAAATAAAATAAAATAAAATAATAAAATAATAAACTAAACTAAACTAAACTAAACTAAACTAAACTACTACCACCAGATGGGTTACCCACCCTCTGATTCAACATATCCAACAAATGGGAAGCCACCATATCTTTAGGGCAATCAGTTCCACTGTCAAACTTTGCTATTGTTAGGACGTTCGCAATTAGTCAGTCTCTGCCCTCCTAAAATGTTTGTAATGTATTTATAATTTTCCCATTATAAATAGAAAGTATGACTAAAGTAGGGAGTAGAGGAAGTCGTTCAAGCCTGTGAAATATCTCTACCGATCTCTCTAGCCCACATTTTACATTTTAAGTCCACGAGCATTCTTGGAAATAAAAATAATAGAAAACACCGGTGCTTTGCTTCTCAGTATGGCAACTTTCCAAATTGTTTTCTTTCTTTCTTTCTCTCTCTCTCTCATTAAAATGGTTTAAAAGAAATATAACATTCGAGAGACGAGGATATGGCTTCCAGATCACAATTCATGAAGGCAGGGATCGCTCCCAACATGGGTCTGTTGAAGAATAATAAGCTTTTTAGGTTTTCCAGCTCCCTGAAGCAGAAAAGAGATGATTCTCTCAAATACCATGGTGGAAGAGTTTTTGGCAAAGCTGTTGCCTCTTCTTCCTATGTGTCTACAGCAAAAAAAAAATCCTGTTTACTTGGGCAGTAAAGCCAGTATAAATATAGACTGAAAGTTGGATGATAATTAGACTTACTGCTCATGCAGTACTTTTCATCCTATCACCCCTGAAGTCTAATTCATTTTAGAGTTATTCTGGCAAGGGAAGCAACCATGATATTAAATTAGCTCAGGATTGAAGTAACTGAAGCTTGGACAAGACAATGTCCCTTTGCCAATGTCAATAACCAGCCAAAGTTATGTGCTCTCAGCACATTTGGCGTATATAGGAAGTGACCATGGGCTTCAGGGGAGGCCAGAGATGTAGCAAGAGGTCCTTGCAAATCTTAGAAGAGTGACAGTGGAAGGAAGGCACAAATCTTGCAATTTCCTAAGAGTTCTTCTTTTGTGGAAAAGGCTTCTGCTTTGTTGTCCTATTCTCAGAGTTCTTGAATGGTGATTTTAAATGTCTCCTGGTGGTATGCATTACTGTTGGGATTGGCAAAGTTGCTAATGTTGGAATGGCTCTTGTCTATCTATCTGGGTCTTACTCCCAGGAGTGAATTCCTTTCTGAATTCGGATTTAATGGGAACAAGGAAAGAGTACAGTGCTGATTGGTTGGTAGATTTCTCCCCCAGGATTTCAAGGCAATATACTTAGCATGTTCCCCTTCAGTATAGGTAGCCCTCAACTTATGACTGTTCACTTAAGGATAGCTCAAAGTAATGACGGTGCTGAAAAAAGTGACTGATGATTTGATATGATTTGATTGCTTTCATTTGCTTAATGGCTCTGGTTGTAAAATTGGGCGTGACTCATTTAATGACCTCACTGTTAGCACCTGAAATTCCAGTCCCAATTGTAGGTGTAAGTTGAGGACTACCTGCAATGCAATGTATACCGCTTCCCAGTGCTATACAGCCCTCTCTAAATGGTTTACAGAGTCAGCATCTTGCCCCCAACAATCTGGATCCTCATTTTACCTACCTCGGAAGGATGGAAGGCTAAGTCAACCTTGAGTCTGGTGAGATTCAAATTGCCAAACTGCAGGCAGCCGGCAGTTGGCAGAAGTAGCTTGCAGTACTTCATTCTAACCACTGTGCCACCACGACTCCTAACAGTATGTGGAAAGTGGATGTAATATATATATAGAACACACATACCCAACTGTTGTTACATTCCTACATATGAGAGATTTGCTGACTTTGGAACACAAACCAGGACTATGCTATCTTTCAGTTGGATCCATTGATAGTCATCTTCATGTCAACTTCTTAATATGACAAACCAAGATGACTTTATTTATAATCCCCCTTTTGGCAATTACTGCTTTCAAAATGATCCACTAGCAATATAAATAGATGAATGATGGTGCTATTCTTAGGAGCAGTTCATCATCTAAAAAATCAGGTAATACATCAAAACCAACATTAACCCATTCCCGTCATCAATCTGTACATAATTCAGTCATCCAGACAATGAATACTCTATTCCTCATGCCAGTTTATTGTACACGAGGAGTTATTTAATCCTAAATAGCGCAAAATATGAAAATGGACTCGAGTCATTTAATCTCAGTAAGAATTGGAATAAATGTTATTACTGTAAACTGGTTGTAACAACTAAGATCAGGGGTGTCAAACCTGATTTCATTGAGGCCTGCCTCAGGGTTATGTTTGACCTCAGGGGGCCGGAGTGGGTGTGGCCAGGGTGGGCGTGATCAGCTCGATGTCACTTGTGTTGGGGGTTCCTGTGGTGGCCCAAGCACTTTGCCAGTGAAAACGGGCTCCCGAGATCCGTTTTCTGCTGCGATGGCTTCCTGCAATTCTCTGTCAGTGAAAACAGAACTCTGGAGGGCAGCCCATGGCCCTTGCGAGCTCCATTTTTGTCTGTGATGGCCTCCTGCATCCCTCTGCCAGTGAAAACGTTTTCATTGGTAGAGGCACCAGGACCAGTCCTTCGCTGTTTCCAGGGTGGCCCCACAGGCCAGATCTATGCACTTCATGGGCCGAATCTGGCCACCAGGCCTTGAGTTTGACACCCCTGAGTAAGATGATCTGACAGAACTTGGAAATGCAAAGAAAAAACAGAGAAAATCTACAAGGACAACAAAATGTAAAATCACAAATAATACTATTATCATTCCAGCAATACAATGAAAGCAAAACAACAACCTAGACATTTTAGGGAGGTTTAACCAATATACATCTTTTTTCGTATTTCTTACTGGAAATAGACAAATGGAAAATAACTAGATGTTGCATCAACTAGCCTCTTTATTAGAATATCCATTCACGATCTGTCCTAATATTGTTTCCCTAACTGCATGACAGAATAATCTGTGGAGAACATAGGACCTCTCTCTGTCTCATCCTAAGAGACACATGCAAGTTCCACAGGAATTTTGAAGAAATAGTACAGAGTTTCCTGCTTGAGCAGGGGGTTGGACTAGAAGATCTCCAAGGTCCCTTCCAACTCTGTTATTCTATTCTATATAGATTTATATATTCCATGTATATTTCCACATTTACTACTGTATCCACATTAAGCCTGATCTCAGGCACTTGAGATCTGGACTTTTAAAGAAAATATACTACAATACTTCAGATATGTGTAATAGCATATATATACCCAAAAGGTACATTTGCCATTTATATGAGATGGTTGATCATCTCTGTTTTATTTTCCCATGGTTCAATTCTATGCCCCTCTGTTTACTTTCTTCTACAAAGGTCAACTGTAGAAGGAAACATTTACCTGATCCTGTAAATTCAACGAGCCATTAATCTGAATAAGCATGCCTACCATCACTCTGCAAATGTCTGAAAATAGCAAATTTCCCTCTTTTGGGAAATATCCAAATAAATGTTGAGAAAGACAGGTGAACTTTGCAAATGTTGAGTTCCGAAAGTTAAAAGAACTTGAAGCTTTGGGACATTCATAAAAAAAAAGGTGGTCCTAACATTCATTGATTTCAAACATTTGCTTTGCATATTTGACTTGAGGAGATCAAATATTAAATTGTAGGAATAATTTACTTAGAAGGATTTTGCATCTTCCTCTCCATTCAAGTCCAAGCAACTGATGAAAACTATGCTTTAATCCTTGGTTTTGGGGAAATTTTGTATGGCAATAAATCCTGATCTCCAGAATGTCCCACTCAAAACATTATAAATTATGACTCTTGTTGAACTGACATTCCTAGAATCAAAAATCAGCTTTAAATTTTCCAGCCGCTCATGAAAGCTAGGTCTGTGCAGACAAAACATTCAACTGTTATCTCGGTGGACAAAAAACAAACAAACAGATTTATTGCTTAAAATAATATTGCTAAAAGATGGGGGGAAGGCAGTCATGTGTGATCATGTAGCAGGAACTAGATTAGCCATGTTTGTCATTCTTATTTGAGATCATAGCCCAAAATATTTCTCTCCTGCCTTGATTTTTACGGATTCTCAAAACAACAGCCATAAAATAATATTTTCTTAGGCAGCCAAGAGGATTCATATAGCTCTATCTGACCGAACACGATCAACATTTGAACTGATTCTACCATTGTTTAGGATCTTATATATTTATACGTTTTGGGTTATCTACTCTCCTGAAGATCAAAATTGAGTTGGTGGTGGCTGAAAGCGGGGCGGAGTTTTCTCAGGGATAGGACCCAAATATCTGATGAAATGAATGAAATATGATAAAGTGGATGAAAAGCTTAACTTTAGAATCAATCAGTTTCACCTCTTCCCCTTATGTATGTGTTTATGTACATGCATGCAATATTATACTTATGAGCAATGGTGGCCTGCTGGTTAGAATGCAGTATTGCAGGCTAACACTGCACATTGCCAGGAGTTCGATTCTGACCAGCTCAGTGTTGACTTAGCCTTCCATCCCTTCTGAGATTGGTAAAATGAGGACCCAGTTTGTGGGGGCAATAAGCTGACTTTGTATAAATATACAAAAGTATGAAGGCTATTGCTTAACGCATTGTAAGCTGCCCTGAGTCTCCGGAGAAGGGAGGCATATAAATTAAAGCAAAAAAGAAAAAAAAAGATGGGACTCAGGAGGCAGCAATAGATTGGAGGTGGGGCCAAATAAAAGGTAAGAATAACGTGGGGGGGTGGGGGGCCACGGGGGGGGTGGGTGGGGGCACGCAGGAGGGCAGAACCGGTTCGGTGACATCGTATCGTCACCGTTACCGGCTCCGGAGAACCGGACCGAACCGGAGGAACCCACCACTGGAACACACCTTAGGGAGATTTGTTTCAAAACAATGCCTAGTTCCGATATCTGTGCTATCGCACAACAATTCAGAAAGGTAGGCTGACCTTCCAAACGAGCTTCATAGAGATCATCTAATTCTATCTAATTTAGGTCCAACTGTTGAGCATAACTCATATCTTCATAAGTGTTTGAACTCCGTTTTCCTATGAATCCCTCAAACAGCAATTCTAGAGAAATGGCAGCACCCAGGTTGGGGTTTTGACCCATAAAGTGGGGAAAAAAATCCCAGCAAATCCCATTGAAATCTGAATAATGCCCAAATCAATATCTACCCTATGAGAATCTATGAGCCTTGGTGGTGCAGTGGTTCGAGTGCAGTACTGCAGGCTACTTCTGCTGACTGCCAGCTGACTGCAATTTGGCAGTTCAAATCTCACCAGGCTCACAGTTGACTCAGCTTTCCATCCTTCCTAGGTCGGTAAGAATGAGGAGCCAGATTGTTGGGGGCAATAGGCTGACTCTGTAAACCACTTAGAGAGGGCTGTAAAAACACTGTGAAGCGATATATAAGTCTAAGTGCTATTGCCAATGCTACTCCATGTTTTTCGAGGGGAAAAACAAACAAATAAAAAGTCTACGAGCTTAAGGATGGTTCATTCAGATGAGAGATATTTATGCAAGCTGAAGCTTTTGGCTTGTCAGATACTTTATCTTATTCCAATTGATGGACTTGAATGAAGAAAAATGGGAGAGGAGACCCGGGGGATGGCTATGCTGTGGTTAAACTG